GAGGGAGTGGAGAGAGAGAGAGGACTAATAGATATATTTGAGCAAATTGTAGCTCAGAACTTCCCTAATCTGGGGAATGAAACAAACATTCATATCCTAGAGGCAGAGAGGAACCCTCCCAAGATCAAGGAAAACAGGCCAACACCCCGGCATGTAATAGTAAAACTTGCAAATCTTAGAACCAAGGAAACCATCTTAAGGGCAGTTAGGAGGAAGAGATTCCTTACGTACAGAGGGAGGAACATCACAATAACGTCAGATCTATCCACAGAGACCTGGCAAGCCAGAAAGGCCTGGCAAGACATAATCAGGGTACTAAAAGAGAAGAACATGCAACCAAGAATACTTTATCTGGCAAGGCTGTCATTTAGAATGAATGGAGAGAGGCAGAGCTTCCACGACCAGCAAAAACTGAAAGAATATGTGACCACTAAGCCAGCCCTGCAAGAAATATTAAGGGGGGTTCTATAAAAGGAGAAAGACCCCAAGAGTGATCTACAACAGAAATTTACAGGGACAATCTATAAAAACAACGTCTTCACAGGCAACATGATGACAATTAATTCATATCTTTCAATAATCACTCTCAATGTGAATGGCCTAAATGCTCCCATAAAAAGGAACAGGGTTGCGGATTGGATAAAAAGACAGGACCCATCCATATGCTGTCTACAAGAAACTCATTTTGAACCTAAAGATACATCCAGACTGAAAATGAAGGGATGGAGATTCATCTTCCATGCCAGCGGACCTCAAAAGAAAGCTGGGTAGCAATTCTTATATCAGACAAATTAGATTTTAAACTAAAGTCTGTAATAAGAGACACAGAAGGACACTATATCATTCTTAAAGGGTCTATCCAACAAGTAGATCTAACAATTGGAAATATCTATTTCCCCAACATGGGAGGAGCCATCTACATAAGCCAAATGTTAACCAAAATAGAGAGTCCTATTGCTGACAATATGTTAATTGTAGGAGACCTCAATGCTCCACTCTCAGCAATGGACAGATCATCTAAGCAGAAAATCAACAAGGAAACAAGAGCTTTGAATGATACACTAGACCAGAAGGACCTCATAGATATTTACAGAACATTCCACCCTTAAACAACAGAATACTCATTCTTCTTGAGCACACATGGAACTTTCTCCAGAATAGACCACATACTGGGTCACAAATCAGGTCTCAACTGACACCAAAAGACTGAGATTATTCTCTGCATATTCTCAGAACACAATGCTTTAAAACTGTAACTCGGGGTGCCTGGGTGGCTCAGGCATTAAGCGTCTGCCTTCAGTTCAGGTTATGATCCCAGGATCATGGGATTGAGCCCGGCATAAGTCTCTCTGCTCGGCGGGGATCCTGCTTCTCCCTCTCCTGCCCCCCCCGCTTGTGTTCCCTCCCTTGCTGTGTCTCTCTCTGTCAAATAAATAAATAAAATCTTAAAATGAAATAAAATAAAATAAAACTGGATCTCAATCACAAGAAAAAATTTGGCAGAAATTCAAACACTTGGAAGCTAAAGACCACCCTGCTCAAGAATGTTTGCGTCAACCAGGAAATCAAAGAAGAACTTAAACAATTCATGGAAATCATTGAGAACCAAAACACATTGGTCCAAAACCTCTGGGATACTGCAAAGGCGGTCCTAAGGGGGAAAAACCTACCCATCCAAGCCTCACTCAAAAAAATAGAAAAATCCCAAATTCATTAACTCACTGTACACCTTAAAGAACTAGAGAAAAAGCAACAAACAATGCTAAGCCACGCATTAGAAGAGAAATAATTAAAATTAGAGCAGAAATCAATGAATTTGAAACCAGAAACACAGTCGATCAGATCAAAGAAACTAGAAGCTGGTTCTTTGAAAGAATTAATAAGATCGATCAACCACTGGCCCAACTTATCCAAAAGAAAAGAGAAGGGACCCAAATTAATAAAATTATGAATGAAAGGGGAAAGATCATGACTAAGACCAAGAAACAGAAACAATTAGTAGAAATTATTATCAACAACACTATTGCAATAAACTGAGCAATCTGGATGAAATGGAGGCCTTCTTGGAAACCTATAAGCTGCCAAGAATGAAACAAGAAGAAATTGACAACCTGAATAGACCAAGAACCAGTAACAAGATTGAAGCCATGATCCAAAACTTCCCAAAAAACAAGAGTCCAGGACCTGATGGATTCCCTGGGGAATTCTACCAAACAGTCAAAGAAGAAATAATACCTATTCTATTGAAGCTGGTACAAAAAATAGAAACAGAAGGAAAACTTCCAAACTCATTCTATGAGGCCAGCATTACCTTAATCCCCAAACCAGGCAAAGACCCCATCAAAAAGGGGAATTTCAGACTGATATTCCTGATGAATATAGATTCCAAAATCCTCAACAACATCCTAGCTAACAGGATCCAACAATACATTGAAAGGATCATCCACCACGACCAAGTGGGATTTACCCCCGGGATTCAAGGGTGGTTCAACATTCGCAAATCAATCAATGTGATAGAACACATTAATAAGAGGAGAGAGAAGAACCATATGGTTCTCTCAATTGATGCAGAAAAAGCATTTGACAAAGTACAACATCCTTTCCCGATTAAAACTCTTCAGAGTATAGGGATAGAGGGAACATTCCTCAAGTTCATAAAATCCATCTATGAAAAACCCACAGCGAATAGTGGGGAAAAGCTGAGAACCTTTCCCTTAAGATCAGGAACACGACAAGGATGACCACTCTCACCACTCTTGTTCAACATAGTACTAGAAGTCCTAGCAACAGCAATCAGACAACAAAAAGAAATAAAAGGTATTTAAATTGACAAAGAAGAAGTCAAACTCTCTCTTTTCGCAGATGACATGATACTTTATGTGGAAAATCCAAAAGACTGCACCCCCAAATTACTAGAACTCATACAGCAATTCAGTAATGTGGCAGGATACAAAATCAACATGCAGAAATCAGTTGCTTTCTTATACACTAACAACGCAACTGTAGAAAGAGAAATTAGACAAACAATTCCATTTACAATGGCACCAAAAACCATAAGATACTTCAGAATAAACCTAACCACAGAGGTAAAGGATCTATACTCTAGGAACTACAGAATACTCATGAAAGAAATTGAAGAAGACACAAAAAAATGGGAAAATATCCATGCTACTGGATCAGAAGAAAAAACAGTGTTAAAATGTCTATGCTACCCAGAGCAATCTATACCTTCAATGCCATCCCAATCAAAATTCCAATGGCATTTTTCCAAGTGCTGGAACAAAGAATCCTAAAATTTGTATGGAATCAGAAAAGACCCCGAATTGCCAAGGAAATGTTGAAAAAGAAAAACAAAGCTGTAGGCCTCACTTTGCCCGATTTCAAGCTATATTACAAAGCTGTGATCACCAAGACAGCATGGTACTGGCACAAAAACAGACATATAGACCAATGGAACAGAATAGAGAACCCAGATATGGACCCTCATCTCTATGGTCAAATAATCTTCGACAACGCAGGAAAAAGTATGCAATGGAAAAAATACAGTCTCTTCAATAAATGGTGTTGGGAAAATTAGACAGCCACATGCAGAAGAATGAAACTCGACCATTCTCTAACACCATACACAAAGCTAAACTCAAAATGGATGAAAGACCTCAATGTGAGACAGGAATCCATCAAAATCCTAGAGGAAAACATAGGCAGTAACTTCTTTGACATCAGCCACAGCAACTTCTTTCAAGATACATCTCCAAAAGCTAGTGAAACAAAAGCAAAAATGAACTTTTGGGACTTCATCAAGATAAAAAGCTTCTGCACAACAAAGGAAACAGTCAACAAAACAAAGAGGCAACTCACAGAATGGGAGAAGATATTTGCAAATGACACTACAGATAAAGAGCTGGTATCCAAGATCTATCAAGAACTTCTCAAACTCAACACCCAAAAAACAAATACTCAAGTCAAAAAGTGGGCAAAAGATATGAAAAGACACTTCTCCGAAGAGACATACAAATGGCTAACAGACACATGAAAAAATGTTCATCATCATTAGCCATCAGGGAAATTCCAATCAAAACCACATTGAGATACCACCTTCCACCAGTTAGAATGGCAAAAATGGACAGGAAGAGAAGCAAATGTTGGAGAGGTTGTGGAGAAAGGGGAGCCCTCTTACACTGTTGGTGGGAATGCAAGTTGGTACAGCCACTTTGGAAAATAGTGTGGAGGTTCCTCAAAAGTTTAAAAATAGAGTGGCCCTATGACCCAGCAATTGCAATCCTGGGTATTTACCCCAAAAACACAGATGTAGTGAAAAGAAGGGCCATATGCACCCCAATGTTCATAGCAGCATTGTCCAGAATAGCAAACTGTGGAAAGAGCTGAGATGCCCTTCAACAAATGAATGGATAAAGAAGATGTGGTCCATATACACAATGGAATATTACTCAGCCATCAGAAAGGATGAATACCCAACTTTTACATCAACATGGGTGGGACTGGAGGAGATTATGCTAAGTGAAATAAGTCAAGCAGAGAGAGTCAATTATCATATGGTTTCACTTATTTGTGGAACATAAGGAATAGCATGGAGGACATTAGGAGAAGGAAGGGAAAAATGAGGGAGGGGGATTTGGAGGGAGAGATGAACCATGAGAGACTATGAACTCTGAGAAACAAACAGGGTTTTAGAGGGGTGGGTAGAGGGGGGATTGGTTAGCCCGGTGATGGGTATTAAGGAGGGCATGTACTGCATGGAGCACTAGGTGTTATATGAAAACAATGGATCGTGGATCACCACATCAAAAACCAATGATGTAGTGTATGGTGACTAACATAACATAATAAAATTAAAAAAAAAAAAAAGCAAAACAAAAAAAAGAAAATCCTAGCTAGGTGGGGAGAAGCCAAAGTGCGACACCCCCTACTGCTGCGGTGGTCGCTCGCGTTCAGCCCACTGGGTCCGTGCCGCCCTTTGCTGTTGCAGCTACCGTAGGATCATGGCAGCACTCGTGGTGCTCCTGTCCTTGTTGTTGGTGGGTGTTTTCGGGAATGAGTTTAGTATATTAAAATTACCAGGGTCTGTTGTTTTCCGAGATGGAAATTGGCGTATACCTCTTGGCCAGGAGTTGCAGTGGGTAACCTGTTCCATTGACCTCGGGCTACCATTTTGGTGATGGAGAAGGGAGTAGACAAACTTGCTCTACCCCCAGGCAGTGTAATTCCGTACCCTTTGCAGAATGCAGTTCCTTTTAGTCTTGACAGCGTTGCAAATTCCATTCACTCCTTATTTTCTGAAGAAACTCCTGTAGTTTTGCAGTTGGCTCCCAGTGAGGAGAGAGTGTATATGGTGGGGAAGGCAAACTCGGTTTTTGAAGATCTCTCCCTAACGTTAGGACAGCTCCGCAATTGCCTGTTCCAGGAAAACTCTGCTCTCAATTCACTTCCCCTCAATTCTCTGAGTAGGAACATTGAAGTTGATCTGCTCTTTCTTTCTGAATTGCAAATGCTACATGATATTCAAGTTTGTTGTCTCGACATAAGCATCTAGCCAAGGATCATTCTCCTGATTTATATTCACTGGAGCTGGCAGATTTGGATGAAATTGGGAAACATTATGGGGAAGATTCTAAACAATTCAGAGATGCTTCCAAGATCCTTGCTGATGCTCTGCAAAAGTTCACAGATGACATGTACAACCTTTATGGTGGGAATGCAGTGGTGGAATTAGTGACCATCCAATCATTTGACACATCTCTTGTCAGGAAGACAAGGACTATTCATGAGGCAAAACAAGCAAAGAACCCATCAAGCCCCTATAACCTCGCATATAAATATAACCTTGAGTATCCAGTGGTTTTCAACATGGTACTTTGGATAATGATCACCTTGGCCTTGGCTGTGATTATCACCTCTTACAATATATGGAACATGGATCTTGGATATGACAGCATTATTTATAAGATGACAAACCAGAAGATTCGAATGGATTGAATTCTCCTCATGCCAAACTTAGAAAAGGGGTTTGGAAATTGGCTGTTTTGTTAAACCTTTTAGTGTAGTTTAAAAGTAGATGGTATACTTTAAATTTATAAAAAAGAAAAAAGCAATTTTTGTTCTCCATGTGCCTGTGATGTTCTTTTAGAGTGAATTATAGTATTGATGTGAATTGATTTGTGTGCTATAGATTCCATAATATGCTCAAATATGATATAACCATTTAATATAATTTCATTCCATTTAACACTTGGAAATGTGCAGTGAAATAAATGTAAAACATTTAGAATAACTTGTGTTATTTATGTTGGGGAAAATGCACTGAATTTATTAGACAAACTTAGGAGTGCTTAACTTCCTCACACAGGACAGGTGAAAATGACATTTGGGCTGTTCTATACCATGAACCATTTGTAAATGTCTTAATTTGATGTAAATATCTCTGAAACAGAAGGTATTTAACTTCAAGTAGCCCTAAATTGTGGGAGTACTTACATAGTGACTGAGATTGAGAACTGCATCTGATTGACAGAGGGTGGCTGTTTTTTAACCTCTTCTGAAAGTTTGGTGATCCAAATCATGAGGTGGATATTAAAAATACTACATTGATCTAAAAAGAAACTAGCTTTATGGAGTTATAGATATCTGTAATTATACACCCAAAAAAACAATTTTGGGGGGGACATCTTGGAGCTTGACTATAAAATCTTTATTTTATTAACTTTCCTCCCTGTGTAAGTTACTATTAATGGTTTGTGGTACAACATCATTCTCTAGAATATTAAGTGGAAGTAGATGCTCCCTACTTTTCATGTGGAAGTGGACCAATGTCTATAAAGAGTGACAAAGTTAATGATTCCAAAAAAAGAAAAAAAAAAAAAGAAAATCCTAGCTAATAGGATCCAACAATACATTAAAAGGATCATCCACCACGACCAAGTGGGATTTATCCCCGGGATGCAAGCGTGGTTCAACATTCACAAATCAATCAATGTGATAGAACACATTAATAAGAGGAGAGAGAAGAACCATATGGTCCTCTCAATTGATGCAGAAAAAACATTTGACAAAATACATCATCCTTTCCTGATTAAAACTCTTCAGAGTATAAGGATAGAGGGAACATTCATCAAGTTCATAAAATACATCTGTGAAAAACCCACAGCGAATATCATCCTCAATGGGGAATTGCTGAGAGCCTTTCCCTTAAGATCAGGAACATGTCAAGGATGCCCACTCTCACCACTCTTGTTCAACATAGTACTAGAAGTCCTGGCAACAGCAATCAGACAACAACAAAAAAATTATTCAAATTGGCAAAGAAGAAGTCAAATTCTCTCTCTTCGCAGATGACATGATATTTTATGTGGAAAACCCAAAAGACTCCACCCCCAAATTACTAGAACTCATCCAGCAATTCAGTAATGTGGCAGGATACAAAATCAATGCACAGAAATCAGTTGCTTTCTTATACACTAACAAAGCAACTGTAGAGAGAGAAATTAGAGAAACGATTCCATTTACAATAGCACCAAAAACCGTAAGATACCTCAGAATAAACCTAACCAAAGAGGTAAAGGTCTATCCTCTAGGAACTACAGAACTCTCATGAAAGAAATTGAAGAAGACACAAAAAGATGGAAGAACATTCTATGCTCATGGATAGGAAGAATAAACATTGTTAAAATGTCTATGCTAAATCAAAAACTAATGAGGTACTGTCTGGTGACTAACATAACATAATAAAATAAAATAAAATTTAAAAAACAACAGAAAATATCCCAAAACTAATCATATACTGTATGGTGACTAACGTAACAATAAAAAAATAAAGTAAAATAAATAAAACAGCAATCAGCAGAATGGGTGAAAAAGCAGGATCTAAATACATGCTGTCTACCAGAGACACACTCTAGACCCAAAGCCACAAATAGGATGAAAGTACAAAAATGGAAAAATAATATACCATATGGACAATTTCCTCTAGTGGTAGAAGTCAGAGAAATTGGAAGTGTGGATAGGATATAATGCACCACTGCTTTCTTGAGATGGAAGGATCCATATACCAAGGAATACAGCTCATCTCTAGAAGCTGAAAGTGGGCCCCCACTGACAACCAGCAAAGAAACTGAGGACTCAGTGTTAAAACTGCAAAGAAATGAAATTTTTAACAACCTGAATGAGTTTTGACGGAGATTCTCCATAAAACCTCCATATAAGAACCCAGTGTGCCAGTACCTTGATTCTGACACTGTGAGCAGAGAATCCAGTTGAGCCTGCCTGGACTTCTAACCTATAGAACTATGAACTAATAAATTGGTGTTGTTTTAAGCCACTAAGTCTGTGATAATTTGTCAAGCAACAATAGAAAACTAATAAAATCTCTTGTTTTCTAATTGTTTCATGTGCCTTATCTCCCTTAGGAGATTTCAAGCAAATTTAAGGTTAGAACCAAGTCTTATAAGTATAGCACACAATGCATATAACATGATACATTAAAGATCAGGATCAGTTAATTGAATAAAATACCAAGATTCACTTATATTTTCTGCTTACCCCACCTGAATATCCCTGACTTCCCAGTCATCCCCAATAATGTGCAAGATTCTTTTAGGGTAATATAATGGACTTAGAATAATATAGCTGGGGTAAAACAACAACAACAACAACCACAAAAGCTCTACATTTTAGGGAGGTTCCAACCATTTCAAGATTGTATTTAGAAGACAAAATACATTTTAACTATTTTTCTGATTAATTAATATGCTTACACCCTATTAGGGAAGACAAGCATTGTGTATCCATTGTTACTGTTTCATAACTTACTTTCTTTAGTTTCCAATAATAAATAATATTTTTTTCTTTTTTTAGATTTTATTATGTTATGTTAGTCACCATACAATACATCATTAGTTTTTGATGTAGTGTTCCATGATTCATTGTTTTCGTATAACACCCAGTGCTCCATGCAATACGTGCCCTCCTTAATACCCATCACTGGGCTAACCCATCCCCCCACACCCCTCCCCTCTAAAACCCTGTTTGTTTCTGAGTCCATAGTCTCTCATGGTTCATCTTGCCCTCTGATTTCCCTCCCTTCATTTTTCCCTTCCTTCTCCTAATGTCCTCCATGCTATTCCTTATGTTCCACAAATAAGTAAAACCATATGATAATTGACTTTCTCTGCTTGACTTATTTCAGTTAGCATAATCTCCTCCAGCCCCATCCATGTTGATGTAAAAGTTTGGTATTCTTCCTTTCTGATGGCTGAGTAATATTCCATTGTGTATATGGACCACATCTTCTTTATCCATTCATCTGTTGAAGGGCATCTCAGCTCTTTCCACAGTTTGGCTATTGCAGACATTGCTGCTATGAACATTGGGGTGCATATGGCCCTTCTTTTCACTACATCTGTGTCTTTGGGGTAAATACCCAGGAGTGTACTTGCTGGGTCATAGGGTAGCTCTATTTTTAACTTTTTAAGGAACCTCCACACTGTTTTCCAAAGTGGCTGTACCAACTTGCATTCCCACCAACAGTGTAAGAGGGTTCCCCTTTCTCCACAACCTCTCCAATATTTGTTGTTTCTTGCTTTGTCAATTTTTGCCATTCTAATTGGTGTAAGGTGGTAGGTATCTCAACGTGGCTTTGATTGGAATTTCCCTGATGGCTAATGATGATGAACATTTTTTCATGTGTCTGTTAGCCATTTGTATGTCTCTTCAGAGAAGTGTCTTTTCATATTTTCTGCCCATTTTTTGACTTGATTATTTGTTTTTTGGGTGTTGAGTTTGAGAAGTTCTTGATAGATCTTGGATACCAGCTCTTTATCTGTAGTGTCATTTGCAAATATCTTCTCCCATTCTGTGAGTTGCCTCTTTGTTTTGTTGACTGTTTCCTTTGTTGTGCAGAAGCTTTTTATCTTGATGAAGTCCCAAAAGTTCATTTTTGCTTTTGTTTCACTAGCTTTTGGAGATGTATCTTGAAAGAAGTTGCTCTGGCTGATGTCAAAGAGGGTACTGCCTATGTTTTCCTCTAGGATTTTGATGGATTCCTGTTTCACATTGAGGTCTTTCATCCATTTTGAGTTTATCTTTGTGTATGGTGTTAGAGAATGGTCTAGTTTCATTCTTCTGCATGTGGCTGTCCAATTTTCCCAGCACCATTTATTGAAGAGACTGTCTTTTTCCATTGCATGTTTTTTTCCTGCTTTGTCAAAGATTATTTGACCATAGAGTTGAGGGTCCATATCTGGGTTCTCTATTCTGTTCCATTGGTCTATATGTCTGTTTTTGTGCCAGTACCATGCTATCTTGGTGATCACAGCTTTGTAATATAGCTTGAAATTGGGCAACGTGATGTACCCAGCTTTGTTTTTCTTTTTCAACATTTCCTTGGTGATTCGGGGTCTTTTCTGATTCCATACAAATTTTAGGATTCTTTGTTCCAGCACTTTGAAAAATGTCATTGGAATTTCAGATCTTGATATCTCACAAGTTACAGATGTTAATTAATTTCTGTAATATCCTTGTTCATTATCATTTTTAGCCCAATTTTACGTAAGGTACACTGAAAGTAATGAATTTTCAGAAGTGTATGTACACACTCTTACTTTCCAGAAGAAAATGTACTTCTTATCATTAATAACTCTCTTATTAGTTGCTGTGTTGGGAATATGTAAGTGATAAAATTATCATGAAGTTAATTTCTCTGTCAGTTTTTAGAACAAAGAAAAAGTAACTTCCCTTCATATAAAGATCATGAACAATTAACAAGTAAAATCATAATTTCACAGATAGTTGCACATCTAAATTCATTCATATTTAGGGAAGAAGTAAGGCTACATTAAATTTTAATCAAATTTCACAGCTGCTGAAATATATTCATAAAATACTTGATTGACATTCCTAACACACAGAATGATCTATAAAAAGGACTATTGCATTTTAAGGTCAGGCATGTCATGTTCATCTCCCTATGTTCAAAATGTGTCATATTGAGAGATTGTAGCTATTTCTTTATTTTCCTTTTCCATTTCTTATTACTTCGTCTTCAAATACAATTCATGCAAATACCTAAAATTAGGTTGGAAAAATTATGGCTCTAACATAGAGGAATGGGTTTTCCAGGAATGAGTTATCATTCTGCTTTTTCCAAATGGATTTGTTGATCCTATAGGAAAGCTTTATATGCCCAGCTTTATAGTGAAATTGTATTAATTTACCCTGTTGTAATAATATTACTTTTATTACTTAATGGCCTGTTATTATATAATCTCTATAAATATTTACATTATAGACGCCCCCTTCCAATATTTCTTGAGTTCTAGGTGTGAAAGAGGGCAAACATAAAAATAATCTATGAATGCAAGTGAAACTTTCCCTAAGAAAAACAACACAAGAAAATTCTGATTTACTTAATAGATGTTTTAGAGAAGGTAATTTGCTTTATAAAAAGAAGCACTTTATTTACAATATTTAGTGTAACATTTAAATAATACTTGACTCACCTTCTATATAAAGCAATATGCACTTTCTCATTTTCATTTTTTATTGTGATAAGAACATTTAACATGTGATCTAGTCTCCTAACAAATTTTCAAGTGAATATCATCTC